TGTACCACTATGCCCAGCCTCAAATGCCTATTAAATCATCAAAGATAAAATGATGTTTTAAATAGTGCTTTTTTAGACCTTGAGATAGTTTTAATAGCAAATTATTTTATAGCTTTTTGAGTTTTGAAACTTGGGGAAGTCACCTATGGTATAAAAGCTAATTCTCTTAACTAGAACATGCAATTAACTGGAAAAAAAAAACATTCTCTAAGCCTGCACACTAAGACAGTTTGTGAAAAAACTGTCTTAGCGTTTGTGGCCAAAGCCAAAGATTTCCTCTTCTTATAAACCTTGAATGGAGTAGGTCCCTCACCAATTATAGAGGGCCCCTTGGGTCTCAGAACTTTCCACAAGTGTTTTGGTCTCTATGACGATGTACCCAGTTGGCGAAGCGGAAACACCAGTGATAAGGCACCAGGCACAGGTGGGGAGAAGTCTGTAGAAAACGAAGCAGGTTCTTTTTGTGCATCTAGGAGTGACTGCTTCACCTTGCCAGAATCTGCTGAGCTGCGCGGGCCAGGCTGCCCAGAGTTCCCACCTCTCCAGGAAAGTTCTAGCAGGCTGGCAGCTCTGGAAGCACCAGGGCTTCTGATGGCTGTTGCTACGCTGGGGGTTGGGGACTCCCTTTGGGACTCCACTTCCGTTGATGCTTAGGCTTCATCCTTCTTGTGCCCTCAGAGGGCATGACTCAGGTGAAGGGAGTTCATTTTGGCCAGCCCCCTGGCCTCATGCAGCCCTTCAGCATCCCCGTTCAAATTACACTCCAGGGCAGCCGGAGGTGCCAGGGGAGGTAAGTTACCACCAGACTCTCTCAGCCTATAACGGGCATCTTATGGAAGAAATTGTTACAAGGGGGGCTATCATAATTTTCTTTTTTTTTGTACTGGGGATTGAACTCAGGAGCCCTCAACCCCTGAGCCACATCCCCAGCCCTATGTTGTATTTGATTTAGACACAGGGTCTCAGCGAGTTGCTTAATGCCTTGTTTTTGCTGAGGCTGGCTTTGAACCTCAATCCTCCTGTCTCAGCCTCCAGAGCTACTGGGATTACAGGTGTGAGGCACTGGCTGTAATAAATTTGGGGGTTGGGTTTGGTGTTTGTGTTTTGAAAACGCCCACCTGCCATGCCTCTCAGGGTACCTCTGAGGCTTCCCCAGCAATGCTGACATCATAGGCTGCATCCTTTCTGGTTGAATTCCTCCCTAGCTTTCAAGTTATTGGAGACCAATAACTCCCCTCAGGATCCCAGAACTAGAATATGGCCCAGCACATAGTTAGTGCGCAGTCAGTATCTCTTGGTTGAATGAAGGAATGAGGAAATGACACCAGTATTTTGGTCCTATTTGTGAGTCCTTCCAGTCACTGTCTTGGATTCAGTGCCCAGCTCTACTTAACTAGGTGTATGGCTCTGGGCAAGTTTGTGTCTACCTCTTATCTCTGAAATGGAGATAGGAAGATAGCCCACACGCCCTAGCCCAGTGATCTACTCTCGGAGCATTCTAAACTAGATCATCAGATTTCGTGTACATTTTAGCTTTTGTACTTCCACTTTAGCTTACTTCCACTCCTTAAAGGGGAAGTAAGATCAATCATTTTTCTGCACCCCTTTCTCCCCAGGGGAATGATGAGCAGAGGAGCTGAGAGCCCTTAGGAAAGTGGCACTCCCCACTACCCCGAGGTTGGAGTGGTGAGGCAGTCAGCAGTGGTCACCAAAACAGAGAGGAGCAATGCCAGCATTTTCTTGGGAGGGGTACTAGTCACAACCAAGTTCACTATCTGAAAACTTGGATGACCTTGTGAGAGGCTCAAGTGGAGTTGGAGCTTAAAAAGTGGAAGCACTGAAGACTGCAATGTCATCACGTTTATCTACACCACTGTCTTTTAGCTATGCTGGTGGATATTTGAGAGAGAAAAAACAGGAGAAGAGGGAGATATAGGGGTTTGGGTGAGGTCTGGGGATGAAGGAACGGTCAGAGCATGGAGGAGAAAGCGATTCTTCTCTCCTAGGAATGAACAAATGCTTTTATGAGTAGACAATTAAAGTGAATCACTGCATGGCAAATGATCAAATGCAAACATGCAAGAAAACAAGTTTTTAATGCCCTGTTCACAGCCCAATTAACTAGATATAAAGAGAGTCATATTAACTCCAAAGCAAGGTAGCATCTCATTTTCTTTTCCGAAACGCACAATTGAATGATTGCTCTTTCCTCTTGCTGAACTTGATGAACCATGTTGACTTTACTCAACCTCCTTTGCTGTTTCAAAAGAAGTTGTTAAATAATTTTGTCATTAAAAGATGGAAGGGTAACAGTAATTGCTAAAGTCTCCTCTGCAACAAAAACAAATTACAGGGAGATATTAATTTAATGTACCTCATGCTTAGGAGTTACATACACATGTGAAGTAAGTACTGGGTGAATTATGAAGTTTGATGAGCCACAGCATGTTTCTAAGGAACACTTCTTGCACAAGTTTCAGTGTTGGAGGGAGAGGCTGCTGGCTTCTGTCCTGCTTACACCCAGATAAGCGTGTTCGAGCTTTGTCATCGAGTTTGCCTCAGGCTGAGCCAGAATGCACTGTGCTGTGCTCAGGTCTGGTGGGAAAGTCGGTCCTACCTGCTATGCAGAGGACCAGCAGGGTGGACACTGCCTTGACTATGACTAAACATTTCCAGGAAATACCTTGGTTAGAAATGGAGAGGTATTACTAGCACAAAGAAGTAAAACTGCCTTCCCTGACATCACTGACTTGAGAGAGAATTAGATCATTTGTAAGTGCTTTGAGGTCCTTGGATGAAAGGTGTTGGTAAACATCACAAAGTTAATTATAGGGCTGTTTGTGGTCTCTGAGAACTGGAAACAATGTAAGAATATCCAACAATGAAGACATGGTTAAGGAAATTATGGAATATCCACCTGATGGAATATTGTGTATCCAATAGAATGGCTACAAAGAATAACTAATGACATGGGAAACAAGTGAATAATATAAGATTAAAACCCCTCAACTCTATCTAGTGTGACTGCATTCATTTGAAACAATATAGAAAAAGGCAGGAATAACCTAGCAAATGAGCAGGAATTACCTCTAAAGGATTGTGGGGTTATTTTTTCCTCTTTCTTAGACTTACATTTTCTGAGTTTCATACAATGAGCATACAAAAGCATGTAGCTCTCATGAATCCTTTGCTAGTTTTTGAGACTTTCTTTACAGCTAAATTTGTGGTCAGGTCTCATAAATGTTCCCTATGTGCTTGAGAAGACTGCATTCTGCAGGGGACAGTAATATCTATTATGTAGGTAAGGCTTGTTAATTACTTTGCTCAGACCTCTTTCCTTATTGACTTCTCTGATTGAGCTATCAATTACTCAATTACAATGAAATAGTGTATAAAAATACCTCATAATCTGATAGTGGATTTTATCTATTTCTTCTTATAGTTCTGTCAATGAGGCAATGCTATTAGGTATACACAAATTAGAATTGTTATATCTTCCAGGTGAATTAAAGTTTTTTTTAATCAATGTAACTTCTAACAAAGCCTTTAATCTTAAGGTTCATATCGGCTTGTTTTTTTGTTACACTTTGTGTGTTGAATCTCAGCTTTTCTGTATCTGTGAATACACAGATGTGTCTTTTGTAAAAATATAAACATATTTAAATCTAGTCTGACAATCTTCATCTTTTAACATCTTTTAATCTTCTTAGATTTCATATAATTTCTGATATACTGATAGAATAACATTATTCTATCAGGTTATTTGTGTTATTTGTCCTGCCTTTTCCATGAGAGATTTTTCTTCCTTTTTGCTTTCTTTTGGATTGATTTCCCTCCTTCTAATAATTTGGAAATTATGTCTCCTATTTCTATTCTTTTAGGGGCTACTCCAGAAATTTAGTACACAGACCAGAACTTATCAAAGTAAATTCAATACCTTTATCTCCACCCACCCAACTTCTAGCCACTTAGAACACGTTAGCACTGTTACCCCCTCCAAATTATATGCTCTTGTCATGTATTTTAACTGTCCAAAACATTTCCACAGTAATAAGAATAAGGAATATTATTATTTTTTAGAGTCAATGTCTTTACTTACTTATTCCTGTATTTGCTCTTCACATTTCTGATGAAATCTCAGTTCTGCCTCCTGGATTATTCTCCTTCAGCTTAGAGTAAATACTTGACCTTTTCCTTTAGAGTCTAGGAGGGCAAACTCAGTTTCGTGTGTTCTGAAATTTTTTATTTCACACTTAGGCTTGAGAAATTCTTTTGCTGGGTATAGAAACTTGTAGTTACTTTGTCTCAGTGTATTGACAACATTCCTGTCCTCTGGCTTGGATTCTTGTTATAGAGAAGTAAGCTCTCAGCTCATCAGTCCTTTGAAAGCATACTGTCTTTTTCTCTGGCTTCTGTTAAGTATCTCCACCCCCCCCCCATTTTTGTAAGAGTGCAATATATCTGTGATGCTGTCTAGGTGTGAATTTCTTTTTATTTTATGCCACAGGGCTCCTGGAATCTGTGGACTGGGTCTTTTGTTAGTTCTGAAATTTTACTTTCTCTTTAAAATATTGCTTCTAACTTATCTTCTTCTGGAATTCTGAACAGCTATCATATTAGGCATTTTTCAACCTGTCTTCTATGTTTCCTAACCTTCCTTCCATATTTTCCACTTAGAAATCCCTGTGCATTACACTTTGGCTGTTTTTCAGATCCATTTTCTGTTTACTAATGATCTTTTCAGATGTATCTAATTAACTATTAAATATATCCACAAAGTTTTTACTTTCAACTCCTTTAGTTTTCATTACTAGAATTTGGTTTCATTTAATATTAGCTTATTCATATTTTAGAGTCTATTATTCTTTAATATTTAATATTACTCTTTAATATTATTTCTTTAAATGTTAGATACAGATTTAACTTAATTTTTAAAAAAACATTCATTTATTTATTTCAGTACTAGAAATGGAACCCAAGGGTTCTTTTTTTCTTTGTTAGAGATTTATAGTCATACAGAGTATTTGGGTTCATCCTGACAGGTTCATACATGTATGGAATTTGATTTCAGTTTTTGATCCCCCACTTTTGTACTCCCCATTCTCGTTTCTCTACTTTATTAGACTTCCTTTTGCTCATCTATTAATTTATATTTGATTGGTTCTTTCTGCCTATGCATAAAGGTAAAGTTCTCGTTGTGTATTTATATATGCACATAACATGATTTTTTTTTAAATTCTTTCTGCATTGCCCCTCCCTTACCCATCCCTCTACTCTGTCTCTTGGTCTCCTTCTTCTAATTACTGATCTTCCTTTTATCTTTATGTCATCCCATCCTTCCCTCCCTTTTTCCTTTATTTACCACAGAGCCACATCCCGGTCCTTTTTATTTTGTATTGTGAGACAGGATCTTTCTAAGTTGCCCAGGCTGGCTTTGAGCTCTTGATCCTCCTGCCTCAGCCTAAGTAGCTGCTATTACAGGTTTACAGCCACCATCTTTAGCATATGTGTTAATTTTTAATGACTGCTTTATGATACCCCTTCCCCACAACATGATATAACTTCTTTACAAGGGATTTATGAGGTTGCCAATTTTTCACAAAGCCTTAGAACAAAGTAGAAGAAATATTGAAAATAGGAAAGCTGTTGTAGTGTCCTAGCAGTTCTGACTTCTACCTTAGATCAGAATCTAACAGGTTATGCCAGTTCCCTGCAACACACCACTATAATTGGGCATATTTAGTGAATGTATTAGAAATGCCAGGAGGCCTCATTATAGACCTCTTCACCCATGGATTCCAAGGGTATCTTGCAATAAATCTCCACATACCTTATGACATAGAGCAATTGATGTCCACCGTCAGAGCAAAGGGAACATGAAAGGTGTTTGGTATTGGAAACTACAGAAAATACCCAAACTTTACCTTAGGGCTAAAACTCTTTCCCTAAGATATTGGATTTGCTGATAAATTTAAAATATTCTGTCTCAAATTTTATGAAGGTTTTTTTTTCTGTGTCCATTCTCTCAGAGTAGAAGGATAGAGGATAAATGAAGTATCAAAGGAGGTTATAAAGTTCTTTATCCTCCAAAGTGGCAATCTTTAGAAGCAACTGCTTCCCCGTGGGGGCTCCCAAGGCACCTTGGATTGCCTTGACATTCCTCATGCTCTGTTTAGAGGCTGAACATGCTGCAGGGGCGAAGGAGAGGAAAGGGCAAGGACATGGGATAAAATATGAAATATAATTTTTTTTGGGGAAAAAAACCTTGATAAGGTTTTTGTTTGGCTTCAAAATTTAGTAAGGTTTTCAGGCAGCTTTATGGAGCCTAAGTTTTTATAATTATAAGCATTTATTTGGTTTATCAATTCATAAAGCCTCTTAAAATAGAACCATCCCTGGGACTCAAATGGCTACTGAGCAGGGGATGGCAAATTAGTGACACTATCATGTGAAATTCTGGGACTGTAGCAAACCGGAGAACACAGTCTGCCCACAGGGCAGCCACTGGTTGGCCCGGCCTCAACTGTTTGAATGTAGGAATGTAGATCTTGTGATGTTTTTTCAAAAGTCAGAAATCAGCATTTTCATGGACAATCTCATGATTTTAAAGTGTTAGCAACTAATCCCACATTTAAAAATAAATAAATAAAAGAATCCAGAGAGAAGGCCAAATAAAATATATCCATGGGCTGGATGCTGTCCATGGACCACCAGTTTGTGACCTTTGTGTTGGACTTTACCGTTCACTAGACACCCCACTGTGAAGTAATTTATCACATCCTTTGTTGCATCAGGCTCTCAGGCAGAGCAGAGAGAAGAAACTCAGGGACACTTATGCAGAGCAGCGAGCAGATGGAGAGGAGAAGTGGACAGGAGAAGACGGCAATGGCAACTTCATAAATCATAGTCGGCTGAGCCATGGGTCTGGGAGCGCAGTTGGTGGGGTGCTGCCTTGCCCACATGCGAATATGAAAGAACAAGACAAACCCTGCCGTTTCAGGATGCTCTTAATTCCAAAAGTGAAGCTTCTCAGTCATGCTTACCAGACAGAATCCATAAGAGAATGTAAAAAATATTTTCAGAAAGGATGTGCAATATCCCTGAAAGATAAATCAGTTTATAACACTTATTCATATAAAACAAAATTAGAAGAAATAATTTTAGGTAATTCTTAACTAGTCATTGATTAGATAGATTGCCTAAAGCCGTTTACCAGACCACGTTACTCAGACCTGTTTGTTACTATATCTTTAAAGATATGTCCTAGAACACCATCGAAGCTTATTTAGATGGACTTCCCACCAAGCTCTGAAAGGGAATTCTTGTTGTGTTGCATTGAACCTGTTCATAGCCTTCAGGGATTGCAAATGGGATTATCCTCCTACTCCCTATGTTGGTAAATGCTACTTGTTTCTGAGCTTGTCTCAATCTCCCCCATCATTTCCTCCAAAGGACAGCCTTTCCTACCTCGGTGAAGAAGAGATATAGAGACTATAAGGACGGAGACCCACCAGAGGTGCACAGGAAGCTGCCCTCCAGTGCTGGAGAGGACAGAGCCATGTTGCTAGGGTTTGCAATGATGGGCTTCTCCATCCTAATGTTCTTCTTGCTTGGAACAACCATCCTGAAGCCTTTCATGCTCAGGTAAGAATCAGAGTCCGAGATCCAGAGTTTATAATTCAGATCCTACCCAAGCACAGTGGTAAAGCTGGGAAGGCTGGTGTAGGTTTCTCCAGTTTCTGCTCTTCTGAAGGTGCAATTACTTTTCCTTCTCTTCCTGCGGGAAAACTGCTGGGTTTGGAGAATAAAGTGGTAAGAATGTGGAAGATATCCTTCCCCTACTCAATCTCTCATTTCCATACACCTCCAAACATAATCTACAACTTAGATATTTATTTAAGTCACAAATTCTCCATTTAAAAATGTCATTTCTCAGGGAAATGGGAAATATTAATCCTTCCCTGTGGAAACAATGAAAGTTTTTTGAATTTGACTATCTCTATCCAACTCCATAATAGTTGCTCAATAAATATTAGTTTCCTTTCTTTAAACTTGCTTCCCATTAAATGCATGTAAAATCAATGGATGCTTTTACTTTGGACATTGAAAGGGCAATGAAGGCGCAAGGGAGAATGGGAAAAGAGGGCCTAGGAGTCCAATGAGGGAGAGGGAGTGAGTGGCCTACTTGTGTTATTTTTTCCAGATTCATCTCCTCCCATTCCTGAGTGACCAGTGATAGGGGAAAAGGCAGAGGGCACCATCCACTAAACATATGGTGCTGCTATTATAAGAATTCCAAGGAATTTTCTCTCTGACATTAGGACCAGAAGAACTGGTTCTGTTCCTAATCAACCAGCTCACTTTTATTCAGTAGAAGCCAGGAATCATACATCTAGCTGGCTGCTAGGAAGCTCAGAGCTTATTTCTTATAACTAGAAGGGATCTCTGATGGTTTTTAGGTTTGATGCTTGTACCTCAATTCTGACTTCATTGCTTTCTCTCCTCCTTTTCCTGTTACTCCATTTTTCTCATCTATTTTAAAAATACAACTGAATTACATATATCTACATATTTGAATGTATCTGTGTAAGTGTGCGCGTGTGTGTGCGTGCGTGCCAGAGAGAGAGAGAGAGAGTGTGTGTGTGTG